AATGTTCTATGGTTTTGTTGTTTTGTTTTGTTTTCCACCCCCTTCTAACTGGGGCCTTCTATTTGGTGTGTTGGTGTGGTGCTGTAGGTTAATGAACCAGACTGCAAAGCTGTTTGAACTGTAAGATTAGCAGTTCGAGCTCACCAGCCGTTCCTCGGAAACCCTATACAGAGTCGTTATGGGTCAGAACTGACTCGATGGCACTTAACAACAACATTGTGGTCTTGGTCAGAGTGGTCAGTAATGGTGGCCACACACCTTCTAGGTCTGATCTTAGAGGAGGCTGTAGTTCGTGTGGATTATTACTCCTTTGGTTTATGCTTCCTTATTACTTTTCTTTGTTTTATCAAATGATGGAAGTTTTACATGTCAAATGTGTGAGAGAGTATATGGTTTCTCGTTTTGATTGTTTTGACTTTTTACTGTGAATTGGGTGAAGGTTTCTAGGGCAAACAGTTTTACATTCTACAATGCACACATAGTCAGTTTTGTGTAATTGATTGCAGTCCCTACACTGTGATATCACTCATGGCATTTCTACCTGTCCTCCTTTCTTAACCCTTCCTGCCTTCCGAACCTTATTCTTGGGTGAAGGCTGCCCTTTTGTTCTGGAATAGGTGACTGTTCTAAGGATCACATACCTTCCAAGTGTTATTTTACACCTTTTTTGTTGTTGAGTTGGTTCTGACTCATAGAGACCCTGTAAAGGGTTTCCAAGGAGTGGCTGGTGAGTTTGAACCACTGACCTTGCAGTTCAAACCGACCTTGAGGTTCAGTACTTATCATGCAGTGCCATACCAGAACTCTTAGGTGGTAGTGGTGGTCGTGTCCCGTGGAGTCGGTTCCGACTCATAGTGACCCTGTATAGGGTTTCCAAGGTTGTAAATCTTTATGGGAGCAGAAAGCCTCATCTTTCTCCAGTGGAATGGCTCTTTCTCCTGTGGAATGGCTGGTATTTTCCAATTGCTGACCTGGAGGTTAGCAGCCCAACTTGTAACAACTACAGTATCAGAGCTTCTTAGGACTCCTTGGAGACCTGTATATATATTGTTGTTGTTAAGTGCCATTGTGTTGGTTCCAACTCATAATGACATTATATAGGGTTTCCAAGGAGTGGAATGGTGAGATTAAACTGCCGATCTTGTGGTTCAAACCGACCTTGCAGCCCAGCACATTAACCTGCAGAGCCATACCAAGACTCCATGTATATATATTATTTGGCTGAAAACTGAGCCATGAGGGAGACAGTACGTAGTTTTATAAAAATCTTTTTCAAAGGTGTGTGAGCAAAAATATTTGAAGGTTGCTGATCTAGAACAAGATTTTGCAACCTTGGAAGTATTGACATTTTTTTGTTGTTGTTATAGAGAGACTGTCCTGTGCATTGGAGAATGTTTAGCAGCATCTGTGGTCTCTACTCTCCTAAATGCCAGCACCAGTAGTAGTCTTCAGTTGTTGTTGTTAGTACTATGGAGTCAGTTCTGACTCATAGTGACCCTGCACAGGGTTTCCGAGGCTGCAAATCTTTGTGGGAGCAGAAAGCCTCATATTTCTCCGGTGGAACAGCTGGTAGTTTTGAACTGCCGACCTTGAGGTTAGCAGCCCAACAATGAAAAATGTCTCTTGACATTGCCAAATGTTCCCTGAGGAGCAGAATTACCCCCAGCTGAGAACTGGTGGTGTGCCTGCTGATCTCCTTTCAGTCAGTAATGTAGAATCTATGTTAGCATTTCAGATGTTTGCTGCTAAACTCTATTTTGGGTTGTATATAATGTCCCAGGTGGCATAGTGGGTTACACATTGGGTTTCTAACCAAACATCAGTAGTTTGACTCCACCAACCATTCCATAGGAGAAAGATGAGCCTTTCTGCTCCCCCAAAGATTTACAGCCTTGGAAACCCCCTACAGGGTTGCTATGATTCGGAACCAACTTAACAGCACACAACAAAAACAACACAAAGTCAAACCTATTGCCACTGAGGTGATTTTGACAGCAACCCAATATGTCAGAGTAGAACTGCCTCAGTAGGTTTTCAAGACTAATCTTTATGGAAGACTGCCACATCTTTCTCCTGTGGAGTAGCTGGTGAGCTTGAATTACTCACCTTCTAGTAAACAGCTGAGTGCTTTAACCACAGCACCACCAGTGCTACTGTCTACAGTATAGCTCTCTCAGATGCATGACCTAAGATGTTAGCTAATGAGCGATATAAAGTAAAGCATAAATAAATTTATTCCCTGTATCAAGTCAGAATACCAAACAACTACATACCAATTGTATGGTAGCTTGTAGACACTACCATCATGCCCTAGCTTTTGTCTGGAGTCACTCTAAGAAATGGCCTTGTGGAAAACTTTTCTATTGATTTGTAACAATTATTACTGAGCGCATACTCTAATGTTGTTTGTGTCCCTTGTATCATGAAGTAAACCAAGTTCCTGAATTGTTTAGAAGTGAATTTGTACACTTTCTTCTTCTTACTCCACTGCAGCTATGTAAAGCTTTTTGCCTTAACGATCAGGAAGCTTTGAGCTAAGTTTGTTGCTTACTTACAGTATCTTCTCTTAGCTCAATTTTTTAAATATAATTACTCTGCCACTCTCCCTATCCCTTTCATTTTATTACTTTTTCTGTTGTTAAATATCTCAGTTTTATTGAATCTCTCTATGTTGAAATTGACCTCAAAGAAATGGTTCACTCAATTGTGAAGAAATGCTTCATGCAGTTGTGGGTACTGGCAGATGTCGAATCTGAAGGTCAGGCAACAGGCTGAAGACCGTCTACTGACTCACATGATTATAGGTGCTGATGAATCAAAATCTGCAGATCAGGCAACAGGCTGCAGGCTTCTGCTGGCTCATGGGGTTGGTGAATCTAAAATCTGCAGGCTAGGTGGCAGGCCAGGAACTTTTGTAGATTTATCCCACGAATCAGAGGCTAGGTGACTAGAAAATACAGGATTGGATGCCAGAAAATCCATTAACATACCGGAGGCAGGCCACATCCCACAAAGAAACCCCCTTTTCTGCTAAATTGGCGACTCATCAGTTCACAGAATGGAAGATGATATGTAGTATCTGCCAAACCACTAAGTATCATTGTCTACCAAGTTGACATATAGCATTAACCATTATAGACTCTAATATACTGAATAGCTACTATATGCAATGTCCTGTACTGAATACTTTATATCTTATTTCCTTTTTTATTTTTAAGGTTTTTATCATGTATATCTTATTTAAATCCCCACAGTGGTCCTATCGGATGATTTCAGTGTCAATTTACCTAAATGGAATCCAGAGTTCTGAAAGGGTCATTGCTCAGATAAGAATCTAGGTCATTCTCAGTCTAGATGTCTGGCTGTAAATTCTTAAGGTCAATGTCCACCTGGCATATAGTAAGCTCTATAAGTATTACTTCTTCTTCTTATCATGTCGTCTGGTGTCTCTTAGGCTAGGTTCTCTAGAGAATCCAAACCAGTGAAGCTTATACATGTATATAAAAAGAGAGATTTATATCAAGGAAATGGCTCACACAGTGGTAGAGGTGGGCAAGTTCCAAGCATGGGTCAGATGTCAGGCTGGTGCTTCTGACTCACACTGCTACAAGGCTGATGAACCCAAGATTGGCAGGTCAGATGGCAGTCAGGTCGGGCAATAAGATGGCAGACTACTGATGATTCCCAGGATTATAAGGCAGTAACGCAGGCCGCTGGCTCAAGTCCAAAGCATCTGCGGTTGGATGTTGAGGGAGATGCAAGATCCAGACCCAGCAAAAAGCAAGCTTTGCCCTGGTATCTGATACATCGAAAGCAGGCCACACCCCAGTGGAAACTTCCTTTCAATTGGTTTGCTACTCATTGCAGATTCTCATCATGGGGGATTGTTGTTTTTAAGTGCTATTGAGTTGGTTCTGACTCATGGTGATCCTGTGATTTCCGAGGTGAGTTTGAACTGTTGTCCTTGTGGTTCTAACCGACCTTGCAGTCCTGTACTTACCCTGCAATTCTGATCTTTATTCATTGCAGAGCTCATAGTGGGGAATACTACATCTTAATTGCTAAGCCACTAAGAATCCTGGTCCAATCAAGTTGATACAAAACCTTAATTATAATGTGGTGTATGAGTAAAGATCACAATTTTTAAATACTGAAATTATTTACTACATCAAATCTTAAAAAAATAAAAAGAACCTTAATCTATGACTGCCATTATTTATAAGAGTTGTTATGTACTGGAAATTGAAATTCACATAATGTTAAAATAGTGCAACTCAGCAAGTGTTCTTTACCCTTGATATGAAGTAGAATGTCAGTTGCTGTTAAGTTGTGTCAGAGTAGAACTTAATGGTGTGTCATGTGGTTTTTAATGGCCGAGTTTTTGGAAGGAGATCACCAGGCCTTTCTACCAACGTGGCTCTGGGTAGACTCCAGTCCCCAACCGTTGTCTATCAGTGGTGCACTTTAACCATTTGCTCTACCCAGGAACTCCTGAGATGAGGTAAAGGGCAGTAACAGTATGTCGTGCTTCCCTTGCCACCTTTGTCAGCCTAACCCAGTGTGGCAATTCTTATCTTTGGTACTAAGAGACCAGTATATAATATTACCTATATCTTATATAAGGAGCTCTGGTAGCGTAGTGGTTACGAATCGGGCTGTGAACCTCAAGGTCAGCAGTTCGAAACTACCAGCTGTTCCATGGGAGAAAGATGAGGCTTTCTGCTCCCTTGAAGATTTACAGCCTCGGAAACCCTGTACAGGGTCGCTATGAGTCGGAACCAACTCCATGGCACATAACAACAACAGCATCTTATATATATGAATACTTGTATACAATAGTTTTCCTATTAAAACTATGTAAATTAAACCATGCTCTATGGGGAGGTGATGTGTCACAACATTGTATTTCCTTATGCACTTTGTTAGTCTTGGAAGTTGCATATGTTTCTACAGACAATGATAACTATAAATACTAATGGTTTCTTGATTTTCTACCTAAGTTCGATGTTTTCCAGCGCCCAACATAACTTGTAAGGATTACAGTGGCAATGAAACACATTTTACTGGAAACGAAATTGGTTTTCTTAAGCCCATATCTTGCCGAAATGTGTAAGTACATTATTGAAGTTTTATTTAAACCTTGCTGATTACTTGCCTGTGTGATATCTTGATTACATGGCGTGAAGAGAAAAAGAATTAACTTGTGGGGAACATCCTGCACATCCTGCACTAATAGAATTTAACCTTTTTGCTTGTGTTAGAAAACCTCTGTTTAAAGTGTGCTTTTTGTTTTGTTTTGTTAATAGAGCTGAGATAAAGACAGAGTATAAATGACCTCATGTCATGCCAATTCACATCAGTTTATGCCACCAAGTGAATTGTGGACAACATTTTGTCTTCAAAATTTGTGGGCGTTCTAGAGTGCCAATAGGAATTTTGTTTTTATCTTATTAGAGGAGTGCTGATTATTATTAATCATTTGTATCCTTAAGGGCATTTTTAAAACTTGATTTCCTTCTTGTGTTAGATGCAGATGAAGAATTCAAAAGCTATTTGGAACATTAGGACAAATAGTGCTATCTTGCCAAGAATGTTTTTTGTTTAAAGAACTTTTGAGTTTGCTTTTGATTTCTGTTACAGTAAAAATTTTACTTTGTACTAAAACATAATTTTATCCATTATTATTAATTACTGGCACTATGTTTTTACCTTATAATTGTATATTGTTGCATTTTATGTGATGGTACTTCTTTTAAGCCCAATTGTAATCATAAAAATAAATAAAACTCTGTTTGATATTTCTAATTCTAGTGTGGATATGCATTGGGCTACTTTGCGCAAGGTCGGTGGTTCAAACCTACCCGCCACCCTTCAGAAGTCCTACACAGGGTTGCTATGTCAGTACCGACTCAACGGCACTTAACAACAACAACAAGTTGTATTAGAATTATTAGAAAGAACTATTAGAGTCTTTTTTTTTTTTCTTTTGATCCAACTTAATTGAGTTAAAAAGGGGTTTTAGATTTTATCTTGCTGTGCAATTGAAACCCATTACTTAAGCTTCTTTGGTTCAGTCTCATTAGGAAAGTAAAATTGTAAAAATGAATTATTTTCAAAATACTTAGATAGGGTTTAGTCAGTTTAAAATTTATGGATTGATATTTATACCTTCAACATTCCAAACTGCAAATATTTTGAGTGTTTGTCCAATTCAGCTGTCATGACAATATTTAAGAAAATCATCTGTTGCGAATAACTCGCCATTCAGGTTGGACCTTTCCAGGTTCATACTGCGTTTGTTGGTCCACCACAATAGTCTGTTACTTAATTACCAAGTGAACTCTCTATTTTTCTTTCAGTGTCTCAGGGTAGATTAGACTCAGTAGGACTGTTCAGAAGCAGGCTTGTAAGACATAGATGCCTATTATAATGGGAAATAGAACCTTCAAGGAAACCAGATATTCCAACTCTACAGGCTAACTTATTCCTGTCATAGAGTCAAATCTACAGTTCCAGAATAGAATTTTCTTGGAATGCATTGAATCAGAACAAGAGAATTTAGATTGATGGATAATTTTAATGGATATTGTTGTTGTTGTTAAGTGCCAAGGAGTCAGTTCTGTCTCATGGTGGCCTTGTATAGGGTGTCTGAGGCTATCCATCTTTGTGGGAGCAGAAAGCCTCACAAAACTAAAATGACCTGAATATAGCCTTTTGTTTATCTGGGTGTTCAATACATCTGGCCAGTGATCTACTCCCCTGTAGACACTACTGAATAAAGACCACTGACAAATTCTTATTCTTTGGTTTTCCTTTCTCCAGTTCACATATTATCTTCCTATTCCTATTAGCATAAATCCTTTTTCAAATTGTGTATGTTGATACTTAATGAAAACACCATCTTTAATATGGCAAGAATGAACATTAGGTAGTATATCGAAGCCTGGTAACCATATCTGGCTACCAAGGCACTCATTTCATCTTGTGGCTTTGCTTCCTCTAGTCCTTGGAGCCCATTCAGCCAGCAGGTGGGAAAACATTTTCTAAGGACCTTTATGGGTCAGATATGGAAATGGCATATAATTCTTCTATCCTATTCTTTTGGGCAAAATTCAGTCATAACTGCATGTAACTGTAAGGTAGGCTAGGAAATGTAGTCTAGCTGTATTACAGAAGGAAAACTGAAATGATTTGATGAATGACTACCCAGTCTCAGCCAAGCACCAATTTTTAGATTATTCATTAGAGAGATTTATTTATATAGATAATTGCTTTTCTAATTTTATTTCCTTTTCTAGCCAAGATCTTAAAAGAGCTGTTTCTGTAATACTCATCTTTCATGAATTTCTTTTTCTAGGGCAGTATGGCTTTTGCTCATACTGAAATTTACCAGTGATCTTTGTTATATGTTACTATATCAGATGGGTATTTACAGTGCATATCTTAATCTTTCTGTAGCATTTGACTAGTCTCTTCTTAAAATACTTCCTTTCCTTGCCTTCTAGTGTATAACAGTCCTCTGTTTCCTTTGAATCCTATTCCTTTGCTTATCCCTTAAATCTTGATATCCTTAAGATTATATTCTTGGTCCTTTTCACTGTCTCAGGCATGTGCCATTTTGACTTCTGTCAGCCTTTATATATTTTTAGGTCCAAAACTGAATGTCATCTTTTCCTTAATGACACCTTGGGTTTATTTATTTATTTATTTTAATTATGAGAGTATATGTAACACTTTTGCCAGTTTAGCATTTTTCATGTGTACAATTTCATGGTGCCAGTTATATTAATCAGGTTGTACAACACCATCACCAATATCCCTTGCCAAATTTTTCATCACCATAAAAGAAACTCAGTGCTTCTAAAACAGTGGCTTCTCTATGCCTCCTAACTCTTGTTCTTGGTAACCACTAGTAAACTTTGGTCTCTATACATTTGCCTATTCTAAATATTTAAGTAAGATCATACACTGTTTGTCCTTTTTGTGACTAACTTCATTCAGTACAGTGTTTTCAAGGTCCATGCATGTTTCTACCCAGCCTCTTCTTTTTTTTTTCTAAGCTTTTATTGTGAATTGAGGGATAGACTACATGGCAGAACACCAGTTTTGTACTCAGCCAATCACATCTTGTTTCTTTTTAATGATAACAATCCCCGTTTTTTTATGTACACAAAAATGCAGGAATATACAATCATGTAAATAATCAAAGGACACATTTTTCAAACCAGCCCACTGCCCCTCAGCACACAGCCTTTCTCTTTCCATGAGTCTAGAGTCCTCAGATGCCCTGTCTCTCCATTGCCATCACCTCTGCCTCCGTCTCTGGTGTCGCTGCTTCTCTGGTTAGGATCCCATGTTCCACTCATGCTCTTCCCTCCTACTGGTCCTGGGGTCCTCTGTTTCTGGAATGTAAGATTAACTACTCCCTGCTTTTTGTTACACATCTTCTACCTTTACAATTATGACAATTGCATGATAAGTTACTCACTGTTAAATCAAAAGAATTCTATCCCCATCTCTTTTCACTTGACCCATCTAGACAAGATGGAAACTATTCAGTGGGGAATCTACCATCCCCCGTACACTCTGAAACTAAACTCTCTCTTAAAAACTTCTAAGCCAGTCACTTTGTGCCATTATAGCCCCACCATTTTAGGTAGCCAATGTCTGAGTTGCCCATCCCTATCAGCCCTGTTTACTGAGGATATATGTTTGATCCTTGGTTTGAAGACTCCTTCCCCCTCAGTTGGCATGTTGTGCTATTACATCTGTGAGTTAAGGTCAAGTTCATCAAATTTCTACCCAGCTTTTTAAGCCAGAAACTTTGGAGTGTTTATTGGCTTCTCCTTTTTTATGTTTATTCTGGTTGCTTCTGCCTTTTTAATATTTCCCAACTATGTTCGCTTTGCTCTTCCATCATTACTGTCTGTTAGATTATAACTTGAATTTCTATGTAACCTCTTAAGTTATTTTTCTATTTCCAGTCTGGTATGCCACTCCAAAGTAGATGAGGTGACACTCTGCATAAAATCTGACATCCTAGGAATATAAGAAACATAAACAGGATCTTGGCCTTATCTCTGCCTCTCCAGTAATGTGTATCACTCATTTCTTGTTGGTTCCACACACTTTCCTATCTCTGGACCACTTACTATGTCTCCCGGTTCCCAAACATTCTCATTTTGACTACAGTGCAACATTATTAAAGGATTTTAAACAGGACTAACATCACGATTGATGTTAAAATAGCTCTGACTTTCTCTCTCACTTCTTTACTCCTCTTTGCAACAAAATGCCTTGAAAGTGTTGTTTAATACTTATTTATTCAATCCATTTCCTCCCATTCTTTCTTTCTTTTTTTTTTTTAATTTAAGGATTTTATTGTGGATTGAGTGAAAGTTTACAGGGCATATCATCAGTTTTACATTCAACAAATCATATACCTTGTTTCATTACATTGATTATAATCCCCTCCATGTACCATAAGTTAACAGTGTTTCTCTCTATCCACTTTAGCTTTTTTAAAAAACAAACAACAACAACAAAAAACCACTCAGGCATATATAATAATTTACATCTCCAAAGGGTACATTCTGCAAGTCTGCTCCTGGCCACCAGTTCTTAGTCCTTCTCTTCTCAGTTGATGAATCTAGAGTCCTCAGCCACTCCCCCTCTCCATGCCCCCATCTCTGCCTCCATGTCTGGCGCTGCTGCTTCTCTGGATAAGGTCCCGCACTCTGCTTGTGTGTTCCTCTCTTGATGGTCTTAGGGTCCTCTGTTTCTGGACTGTAAGATTAACCACTCCCCT